CACTGACTGACAACATTTTGATTAAATAAAGCATTTGAAAAAGCTCCAGGAAAAATAATAGATTGTCAGAGAACCACATAAGGTGAAATAACCTGAAGATGTACCTTAGTAAAGGTTGTACATTGAAAGGGAATGGTTGATAATGAAAAGAGAAGGATAAGTTCTTTCTATTCTGAGGTTTGGTTGAATACTTACCTATGAGATAGTCTGGATAATGTGTCTGTGAGTGCTAAATCACAACTGACTCTTTGCAACCCTATGGACTATAGCCCACCAGGATCCTCTGTCCATGGGATTTCCCAGGCAAGAACATTGGAGTGGGTTGCCATTTCCTCCTCCAGAGGATCTTCGTGACCCAGGGATCAAACCTGTCTCTCCTGAATTGGTAGGCAGATTCTTTACCACTAGTGTCACCTGGAAAGCCAGTCTGGATGATAAGCCCCCACAGAATTTAAACAAAAGTAGAGAGTGTCAAAGGATGAGATGACTGGACGGCATCACCGATGTAATGAACATGAACTTGGGAAAACTCTGGGAGGTGGTGAAGGACAGGGAGGCCTGGTGCGCTGCAGTTCATGGGGTCGCAAAGAGTCGGACACGACTGGATGATTGAACAACATCAAGAGGAGAGATTAAAAGGATGACACTTTTCAAAAATACTTTGACTCTTTGTGAAAGGCTTTCTAAAGCCTGCTGAAAGGATAGCTTTTGTCACTGCTCATCTTCACTTTGATGTGAATGCCTCAAAGGTGAGATCACTTAAATTTTTCTTTTGTTTGGATGTCAAAGGCTTTTCTAAGGTTGGATTTTCCTAACTACAGTGAACCTGTTTAGTCATCTTATTGTAACAGTCTGACCAAAATGAAATTCTTTGTATCCAAAGGGTTAGAGGGAAGGAGAAACCAAGAAGGGAAGAGGAGAAAGCTGCCCATTAGCAATTTTTAAGTACAAAATGTAGAATTGTATCTTGATTCCAAATAAGTGCTTAATCTGATTTTTCCTCCTGCTATGTTTGAAGTAATTCATCTCTAGCAAAACTCTCTGCTAAAAATAGTTTTTTTGTTGCAAGTAGTTTAGGGTTAAATAAAATAACACAATATTTTATTTAGTACACAAATATCTACCGAGAACCTATGAGGTATAATCTCTACCAATATTGAACAACCACTGAAATTAGTCATTGAAATTAGTCAATGTTTAAGATAAAATTGGGTTAGAACTAAAATAAATCAGGAATAAAGCATTGTTTTATTTAAAACAAAAACATATATTAATAAATATTTGAGAGCGTGTCAGCATAGTTTCCTGGTAGCTCAGACAGTAAAGAATCTGTCTGCAATGAGGGAAACCTGGGTTCAATCCCTAGGTTGGGAAGATTCCCTGGAGAAGAGAATGGCAACCCACTCCAGTGTTCTTGCCTGGAGAATTCCATGGACAGAGGAGCCTGGTGGGCTACAGTCCATAGGGTCACAAAGAATCAGACACAACTGAGCAACTAACACTTCCACTTTCTGCATGGTTAAGGAAACCAACTCAAACCATTTTTCACTTATGACCCTTACATAAAATAGTAAGGAAGTCACAGTGATTTTCTGGAGTTCAAACAGTCCAACAAGAAACCACATCATTTTGATGATGAGAATTTTGTTGCAAAACTATCTCCCTCTCTATGAATGGTTTTCTATATCTGATACAAAGGGTGAAAGAATGAGAAGATGGATCTGGCATTTTCAAGTTTTAAAAAGTATCATTATTTTTCAACCATTACTTCCTCCAAGGAGAAATCGTTAGTTCTTCTCTGAAACTCTATTAGAAATGCTCTGCAAATCTGGTACAATGTGTTACACTATGCTCCTCCTCTAGAATACTGTACGTTCCTGGAGGGGAATATTGAAGATTCTTTTCTATGTTCCCCTGCATTTCATAGATATGTAAATAAGTGTTAGTCACTCACTCATGTCTGACTCTTTGCAACTCCATGGACTATAGCCCTCCAGGCTCCTCAGTCCATGGGATTTCCCAGGCAAGAATATAGGAGTGGATAGCCATTTCCATGCATAGTACTGCTCAATAAATATCCACCAAGCTAACTAATTGCTCTCTCCTAATTAACTTCACCTCCATTCTCATTTATGAACTCTATTTTCTCAAGTATGTTCTTGAGACATTCTTGTCCTTGTCTCATGTCACCTTAATTTATACTATCCCTTCTGCCTGTGATACATCCATTCTTGCCAATTCTTCCTTCTCAGCCTTCAAGAAACAGCTCACAAGACAACTTCTCTAAGGAAAAACCATGTATCCACTCAGTTTCCATAGCGTACCAGGCATAATTCCATCATGACATTTATCATTTCTATTATGGTAGTTACTTAATATGTTTCTAGATCACACATTCTTTGAAGATGGGAACCTATATATTATTCAATTTTGAGTCTCAAGCAGAAAGTGGCACACAGAAGAAACTCAGCAAATCTCAACTGAGTTCATGATTACCCATGATCTTCTATTAATAAACGTGATGAATACATTCACCAGCACTTGCCTGGGCCCAAGCAGGATCCCAGCTCTTTTATAGGTACTTCAAATGTTTGCAGATGTAATACTCTTCCCACCAACCAAAGAGTAGAAGGCCAGAGTAACTTTAACATTAGATCCTTCCAGAAACACAGAAGAACTCAGATTCGGTGCTCCTGTCGGACACAAGTGAGAGACTGAACTGAACTGAACTGAACTGAACTGAGATACTTATAAGAGGTCAGGTCGATGGTTCTGAGTGGGGAAACTGCCTCTATCTTCTTGCCAGATACAAAGATGCATTGTTGCTGTTGTTTTTCAGTCACTAAGTCGTGTCCAACTCTTTACAACCCCATAGACTGCAGCCCACCAGGCTCCTCTGTCCTCCACTATCTCCCAGAGTTTGCACAAATTCATGACCTTGAGTCAGTGATACTATCTAACCAACTTAATATTCTGCCACCCCCTCTTCCCGTCCTCAGTCTTTCCAAGCATCAGGGTCTTTTCCAGTGAGTCAGCTCTTCACATCAGGTGGTCAAAATTTTGGAGCTTCAGCTTCAGCACCAGTCCTTCCAGTGAATATTCAGGATTGATTTCCTTTAGGATTGACCGGTTTGATCTCTTTGCAGTCCAAGGGACTCTCAAGAGACTTTTCCAGCACCACAGTTTGAAAGCATCAAGCATCCCTAATCCTTCCAGATCACTGATGTCAAAAGGCACACCTCAGTTAATATCTTTAATTTTTTAGCTGGGGCCTATTTGCCACCAGCTACTAACTCCAGGGAAGAAAATTCCTTACTCTTCTTTTCCATGTGTAATTTTTAACAGAACAAGAATTGGTACCTTTAACTTTCTAAAGGATATTCCTGTTCAGTTCTCCCATAGATTAAATCCTCCCAGACAATCCATGTTCATCACAACTCTGTCATTGTTCAGTTAGTCCTTAGACTCTGGGCCCTGATATTAGGAAGGAGACAGGCTTTGCCACATTTTCCCGCTTCCACAAAATTTTCTCAAATGTCAGTCATTTGCATTCTACTTTCATTCTTTCCATTATATTTTCAATATATTTCAATATTATTATCTTAATATTTTTCTTTAAATCAATTATTTATTCAAACAAATCTGTCCTTCTCCTGTGCAACAGCACCTATAAAAGTCACAAGTTTAAAATCTTATCGTCTTATAAAATAGATGTTTATTATATAACACCAGTGGTTCTCACACCACATAGTTCCTTGGTCCAAAATGCCAAGCTATCATTATTTATTTGTTTATCATATGAATGATATCATTTTGGTTCACATATTATTTTTTCTTTATAGTTCCATTCTGTTTTCCTTTCTTCAACGTGTCCTATTTCAGATGCTCTTCATATGCATTATAGATTGCTGCTGCTGCTGCTAAGTCACTTCAGTCGTGTCCGACTCTGTGCGACCCCATAGACAGCAGCCCACCAGGCTCCCCCGTCCCTGGGATTCTCCAGGCAAGAACACTGGAGTGGGCTGCCATCTCCTTCTCCAATGCAGGAAAGTGAAAAGTGAAAGTGAAGTCGCTCAGTCGTGTCTGACTCTTCGAGACCCCATGGACCGCAGCCTACCAGGCTCCTCCATCCATGGGATTTTCCAGGCAAGAGCACTGGAGTGGGCGCCATTGCCTTCTCCGGCATTATAGATTACTTGTCTTATGAATAGGGATTATGGGTTTAAGAAGTGTGAAAGAGTCCCAAAACCCATGTCCTAGTGCCAATTCCTCCAATATCCAACTTTGAGGATTTAGTAATCTCTCTGAGTCTGACTGCTCATGCTAGAACTAGAGGAGTGTCCCAGAAGCCCTCACTCTTTGAGGCTCATATGATTTGAGGCACATAAACCAAATATAAGGTACTAGTTCATTTACAAAAACAAAAATATTTCAGAACATCTAGTATAGTGATGGAGAAGGCAATGGCAACCTATTCCAGGACTCGCCTGGGAAATCCCACGGACAGAGGAGCCTGGTGGGCTGCAGTCCATGGGGTTGCTAAGAATCAGACACAACTGAGTGACTTCACTTTCACTTTTCACTTTCACGCATTGGAGAAGGAAATGGCAGCCCACTCCNTTAAAAATCAAAATGTAGAGTCAAATGCCAATGACGGGGGAGCCTGGTGGGCTGCCGTCTATGGGGTCGCACAGAGTCGGACACGACTGAAGTGACTTAGCAGCAGCAGCAGCAGTATAGTGAACCAGAAACAAAGGAAACAGTAGTCAACTATAGTACAATTCTGACTTTTAAAAATCAAAATGTAGAGTCAAATGCCAATGAGACCTTTAATGGCACTTTTTCTAATTTTTTATAGAAAAATATATTTAAATGTTACTAAGTGCAGTAAGGGCTAACTATGAAATCCAGAAAAAAATATTCTATACCAAAGCTATGTGAAATTGAGATTCTAGTGTTTAAGTTCTATTTGTTTGTAACATACAACTCTTTCTCAAAAGGCCATCAATTCTGGGTAGAAGAAAACATTCATTGAAACCATGGATGATTGCCCTTATTACTACAGCTGTTGTGTTGGTTCTAGCAGTAATCATCGGTCTCCCTGTTTATTTTTTGGTATTTGGTAAGAATCTGATTGCATTTTTTTGAAAATTTAAAGATCTAGACAATTGATTTTAAAATCTTAACATTTTAGAAACCCTTTTCTAATATTTTAAGATGTAATTTTCATTGCAATAATAGTTTATATAGATGTATACATACTTTGTATAGTTATATATTTATTTGCATAAATTTGTCTATATTGGGAAATGTAAAAATTTATGTGTAAAAATTAGTTCTAGCATTTAAAATTTGACATGGTTCATATAATATTTTCTCTGAAACAGTGCAGTAGAGTCATATGTTATTGTATGGTTTAATAATATTTCATGTACTGAGAGCAAAATATTATTCTAGTAGCAATTCTAACTTTGAGATCAGCTTTGTGAATATAATACATTCTACTATTATTATTTAATTAACAGCTTAAATTTATAAATTATCACTAACAGGTGGTAACTGTGTCAGGATACAACTGACAACCTTGTGACCATGAGAATGTGTGATCTTAATAAAGGGTTAAAGGTAGTGTTGGCTACAGCTGTTGTGTTTAATTCCCAACAACTTGTCAGTTACAGGAGTTTTCTGCATATCATCCCTTCTGATGAGTATACAACTCAAATGATCCATTTTTGTTTTCCCTTCCAGATCAGAAGGTTCATTATTACCAAACTTCCTTCCAGATCCCTAGCATTAAATATAATCCTGATTTTTCAGTGGAACATTCAAAAAATAGGACAGACCTGAAACAAAAAATCAGTAATGAGGTAAGGCTGAGCTTTTCTGCCATCATTCCTACCCTGACAATATTATTGTGAAGGAGTTTAAATTATAGTAAGAGGCAATTTGAGAACATACAAAATTGCAGTTATGTTTTGGTTGCCAGAAAAACAAAGAATGCCCAGTTAGACTTTAATTTCAGATTCTCATGAGTATATATTTCATGCTTATACTAAAAAATCATTATTTATCTGAAATTAAAGCTTAACTATATTTTTATTTGCTAATCCTGGTGACTCTGACTATCTATCTCAGGAAGACTGAAACAATACATTGGACAAAGGATAATTGTACCATATACTGAACAACATAAGCCCAAGAGACAACTAGGTAGCTCAAATACACACACAAAAAAAAAATATATTAGATTTATCTGGAGACATAACTTAGGTACAAATATTACCACATACAATATAGTAAGCACCTACTGTGTGCATGACCTGATATATTTCCCATTAGGCAACTTATACTGAACATTTTATTCCCAAAAATATACCACAGAAACACACAGACTAGCTCTTTAACTGAGCTAGTGAAAGACTTCAGTTTATACACAGCTTCTACAGAGCATAGCATTGACCAAAGATGGCAGATCTTTGCCAGATTTAGAAATACTTCTTTAGATCTTTCCCAACCAAAAGCAGAAGCTGATGAAATGAGTCGAAGGATGCAACTGAGTGGGATTGGTGTGCCTTCCCAAAAATACATCCTAAGCAAATACTTAGGGGGAAAAAATTGGTGCAGAATATATAGTATTTTGTTATATGATTCTAGGAAAAGATTTGATGCCTTTTTCTTGATAAGTATATTAATTTTTAAAAAGTGTTCCCCAAAATACACATTTTCCTTCTCTTCCCCACTTACCACAGTTTCAAAACACAGCCTATAAATTTTCACCAAAGCCTAAAAAGCTTATTTTTAATCACACTCATGGGGATGATAATTATGTTTTAATGATAGTGGTTGTTAAGTTCATTCATAACAAGTTTTCAATGAAATTCAGTCTCTGTACTGGCTGTTGAAATATGTGACTTCATTTGATTCTTTTTATCATTCATCTTTGACCAGGTGACAATTTATTCAAATACCAACATTCAGTTACAGAGATGACCTTTATGACAAGAGTATGCCCAAATGAGATTTCTGGGAATAGCTGTAAACAAACTTAGAAGTAAATGCTATGTGAATCACTGTACATTTTATACAAGCATTTTTGTAATATACTGAAATGTAAAAAATTCATATTTAACAAAGTTCTACACTTTTTTTTCTTTTCTCAGATAGATGAGATATTTCAAAGATCCAGTTTAAATCATCATTACCTCAAGTCTCATGTTTTCAATGTTAGGTAATTATAGCTAATTACTTTGATGAAAAGGCAACTTTGTATTATTTAATTTTTCTTCAATTATTTGCTTTCTGGATATGATGTAAAAAAATTAAGATATACTGAGAGTAAAAATAGTTTAATGTTATTACATTTAATTGTTATTTCTCCTTTACAGAGTATATTTAGGGAGAGAGTGCTGTAACTTGGGTAGTGATGAAATATAGTCTACTGGTTGTCCTTTTAAAGATTTTTGTATTTCAATTAAAGATTCTTACAGTCATTAAAAACTCCTCTCAATTTTACTTACATTTTAAGCAATAAACAAATATAATGGATTTTTTAAAGTCAAGAATAAAATACAAGGTTGATGAATTTAACAAGTGCTTTTATTTGTCCAGAAAAAAAAGATTTTACCATTTTCAGATACTCTCCCCTCCCTAAATATGATCAAGTTTTACAAACTAGGAATAATTCAGGTATTAACACCTATATGATGCAGAAAGGGAAAACATCCATGACAATGAAGAGTATAAAATATTTATGTTGTATTTTCTTGAAGATATAACTATATTTATGTAATAAGTTATAAAATAGTAACTACTATGCTACATCCTCACTCATTTATTCTGATATTTTTGTTTTTCAGGCCAAGTAATAATGGTTTGAAAATAAACGTATTGCTCAAATTTCAGTTTACCTCTAACAATGCAGACACAATAAAAAGAGAAGCTGAGAGCATTTTGCATCAGAAGTTGAAATTAAATGAAAGCTTCTTGAAGATAGATACTTCATTGCCCTATCTTAAAGGTAAGAAATACCATTTTTTCTTTCTTTGTTACAGTTTATCATTTTAACAGTCTTCTCTTCTACAGAAAAATCTTTATTTAACCATAAAATTAAATGACTTTTATTTGTAAGTCTCTCAATTACTTGATAATAAACAAATCTCCACACAATCAACACTTCCTTTGGTTAGTACGGACACAATTGTAAAACAAGGATAATATGATAATCCAAATATAGTAGTATTTCTTACACTTTAAAAAAGATTTTAGTGGAATTGTTTGAACTAATTAGGCATTGTTGTTGTTGTTTAGTTGCTAAGTCTTGTCCAACTCCCTGTGACCCCATGAACTGCAGCATGCCAGTCTTCCCTGTCCTTCACTATCTTTCAGAGTTTATTCAAATCCATATCCATTGAGTCTGTGATGCCATCCAACCATCTAATACTCTGCTGCCTGCTTGTCCTCCTGCCCTTAATCTTTCCCAGCATCAAGGTCTTTTCCAATGAGGTGGCTCTTCACATCAGGTGGCCAAAATATTTGAGTTTCANCTTCTTTGTGGTCCAACTCTTATATCTGTACGTGACTACCAGAAAACCATAGCTTTGACTCTATGGACCTTTGTTGGCAAAGTGATGTCTCTCCTTTTTAATATGCTGTCTAGGTTTGTCAAGTTACTATTAAGACATTCTTCATTCCCATGGGAAGGTCTCCTAAGATTCATAATTTATCCTGAGACACTTCTGTCCTTATCAAGGTGCTTGAAAATTAATCCATATATTATTTTTAAAAATTTACTTCTCTGCACAAGAGAGGTAAGTCCTTTGAACACAGGAACTGTGTCTTCTGTAGACATAATCACCTTTCCAAGATTAGCACAGAACTCAGCACAGGACAGGAACAGGGTATTTGCAAAACACTGTGTCTTTAACTCTGTAAACTAATTCAGAGTCTCAAAAGTGAGCATTAAACAAAAGTAGTGTTTTAACATTAACAGATACCACAGAACACTGAGGAACCTGGAATCCTTCCTTTTCTCACTTAAGAGTTTTACAACTATGCTTTAGAAAGTAAGAGGTTATATATATAAACTTTTTAAAAACCAAGAGTCATGTTTTATAGGGTAAGAGAACTCATTTAAATACATATAATAAAGAGAAAATGCATGGAATGCATACTAGGAAGGACTGTAGGTGGTAGTGAAAAGAAGCCAAGACTTAGAAACCAGAAGACCTATGTCCTAGCAGTAACAGTTGTAGCCTTCGATAAATTGTTGGACCTCTGTGTCTCAATTCCTGTTTTGCAAAATGAAAACAGTTAAGTGAAACTTATTCTTTAGGAAAATGTAAAAATTTTGAAAAGTACAAGAACAAGCAAATTAATGTAATGTATTATTAAATGGACTTTCTCTGATATCTTTAACAATGTTGAACCTGAGAAGTTGGAGAATTGATTAACGTGTCTTTTAAAAAAAAAGAGAGCTTGGAAACTAAACACACAAATTGCTCCAAAACACAAATATTGAAAGAGTTATCTGAGAATATCTTGAGTCCAGCAGAAATCTGCTAAGCTTAGTCTTTTAAAGGTAATTTTTACAGGATTATGATAAAGCTCAAGGAGAAGCTTTGAGTTTAGCTTTCAACTAAGTTTTGTTTTGGGTAATGAATAGTTAGTTAGAATAGGAAAGGAGTGACAACATATCAAAAATTTTAAAAAGCTGGTTAACTCTCTAAATATCATGTAATTCAGAAAAAAGAAAGCTTTTTAAAAATCAGTTTTAATTGGAGGATAATTGCTTTACAATGCTGTGTTTATTTCTGCCACGTAACAACATGAACCAGCCATAAATATACACATGTTCCCTCTCTCCTGACCTCCCCCCACCCCTCACCCTATCCCATCCCTCTAGGTTGTCACAGAGCACCAGGCTGAGCTCCTCATGTTACACAACTTCCCCCTAGCTATCTATTTTACACATGATAATATATATGTTTCCATGCTACTCTTTCGATTTGTCCCACCCTCTCCTTCCCTTACTGTGTCTACAAGTCTGTTCTCTTATGTCTGAGTCTCTCTTCCTGCCCTGCAAATAGGTTCATCAGAATCACTTTTCTAGATTCCATATATATGCATTAATATATGATATTTGCCTTTCTCTTTCTGACTTACTTCACTCTATAATAGGCTCTATGTTCATCCACATCAGTTCAACTGATTCAAATTCATTCCTTCATTCCTGGCTGAGTAATACTCCCTTGTATATGTGCATCACAACTTCTTTATCTATCCATCTGTTGATGGACATCTAGGCTGTGTCCATACCCTGGCCATTGTAAATAGCGCAGCAGTGAACATCGGGGATGCATGCGTGCATGCATGTGTGCTAAGCTGCTTCAGCAGTGACGGACTCTTCGTGACCCTACGGACTGTATCTCACCAGGCGCCTCTGTCCACTGGATTCTCCAGGCAGGAATACAGGAGTGGGCTGTCCTTCCTTTCTCCAGGGGATCTTCCTGACCCAGGGATTGAACCCACGGCTCCTGTATCACAGGCAGATTCTTTACCAGAGACACTGGGGAAGCCCCGAATATTGGGGGTACATGTCTTTTTAAATTTTAGTTTTCTCAGGGTATATGCCCAGCACTGGAGTTGCTGGGTCATATGGTAGTTTTATTCCTTGTTTTTTTTTTCTTTTTAAGGAATGTCCATACTGTTCTCCATAGTGGCTATATTAATTTATATTACCACCAACAGTGCAAGAGTTTCCTTTTTCCCACATGTTCTACAGCATTAATTGTTTATAGATTTTTTTGGTGATGGTCATTCTGACTGGTGGGAGATGATACCTCATTGTAGTTTTGATTTCCATTTCTCTAATAATAAGTAATGTTGAAAATCTTTTCATGTGTTTATTGGCCATCTGTGTGTCTTCTTTGGAGAAATGTCTTTTTAGGGCTTCAGCCCATTATTTGCTGGGCTGTTTAAAAACACCCTTTTTTTAATTGTTAGTTACTTCATGTTTCCCTGTAATATCTTACTATTTTTCCCTTAGCTTTTTTTTTTTTTTTGGCGTATACTCTTCAAACATCAAAGTTTTTATATTATTTTCTATAGAAAAAAAGAGAAAGATAATTCAGACTTTCTATCAGCATGTTTGATAGGCTTTTAAAATATTATTTTGAAATAATTATAGACTTACATGAGGTTGCAAAGAAATTTATACAGAAACCTCATGCACTTGTACCCTTCCCCCAGCCTTCCTTAATGCAGTACATTAAAATCAAGAAATTCAAATGGATACAATCCACAGAATTTATTCAGATTCCACAATAATATATGAACTAATTTGTGTGTGGATTTGTATGTATAGCTCTAGGCAATTTTATCACATATTGTATAACTACCACCAGAATCAATATATTTAATTGTACAATGTCAAGGCTCTCTAGTGTTACTTCTTTAAAGCCACACCTATTTCCTCTATCTATACCTAGCCCAACTACCACTAATCCATTTTTCATCTCTGTAATTACATTATTTTATAGATATCACATAAATAGAATTATATACTTGGTATCCTTTTGAGATTGGCCACTTTTGTTCAATATATTTTGCTTGAGGTTCATCCATCTTATTGTATCAATAGTTTGTTCCTTGTTATTGTTAGGCAGTTTTCATAGCATTCCAGTTTGTTTAACCACTCATCTGCTGAAGAGCATTTGGGTAGTTTCAAGTTTTTGGCTACTACAATAAAGCTGCTATAAACATTCATGTCCAAGTTTCTTCATCAATATGTCTTCATTCTTTGGAATAAATGTCTAAGAGTACAACTGCAGTTGATAAAAACATTTCTAGTTTTAAAAGGAACTACCAAACTATTTCTAAGAGTGGCTGTACCATTTTGCATTTCCTATTATATGAGTTACCCAGTTTCCCTGCATCTTTGCCAAAATTTGGTGTTATCACTATTTTTCATTTTAGCCTTCCTGATAGGTGTGTAGTGATATCTACCTACACCCTCTTCTGTTTAACTTATATTTTATTAAATTGATGTGGGATTAATTAATTAGATGTAGTCATCCTTCATGGCAAACAATATCCTTCCCCATGCCAATGATTTTATAATTATGAACAGGATTTTCCCAGAGGCCACATATAGTCAGAAGAAGAGTTTAATCTATGTCTGGGCCTCTACTTATTGTAGAATTTTATTTGAATTAAGAATTTATTGACTCTTCAAGTCCTCCAAATTAGAAACATTCATGTCGTGTAGAAAGAGTATTTAAAGTGTTCCACTGGTGACCACTCACCTTGTTTTTTTCCCACAGATATGAATAATGTACAAGCAGAGCACATCCTGAACAGCTGTAAGTTCAACATTATTACTGAGATGTATATAAATTAGATGCTTGCATGTGCGCTCAGTCATGTCTGACTCTATGACCCCATGGACTGTAGCACCAGTTTCCTCTGTCCATGGGATTTTCCAGGCAACAATATTGAAGTGGATTGCCATCTCCTCCTCCAGAGTATCTTCCCCACCCAAGGATCTAACCCACATCTGCTGCATTGGCAGGCAGATTCTTTACCACTGAGTCACCTGGGAAGCCCATATAAATTAAATAATAGAACCCAAAACACTTTGGAATATCACTATTCCCATATAAACTTTTTCCCAGAGTACATAACAACTTTTAATGGATACATAATTTAACTCTCCCCAAGGGGAAAAAATTACTATTAATAATTGGAAATGTCTATGTGGACATACTTGCTCTACCACAAAGCTTTGCTGATGACTTTTCTTTTATACAATCCCTTTTCATTTTATCTTACTTGATTTTGTTTGGCTCATTTTATTAAAGCAGAAGATTTTGCTTAGAATTTAATGACATCCACTAACTTTAATATGTGAACTTTGACATTTATGCTGTTGTAGTGTAATGATTTTTTGTAATATTAGAGAAGTATTTTAGAAGAGTAAAAATGGTATTCTTCTGCTTAAGTGCTGTAAATTTCACACTCAAAACTGTCAAAAATCACTCAGGTAAACTTCTTTTTTTTTTTTAAACTTCTGCCTATAAAAATGTGATTCAGAAAATATGAAAAAAAAATTTAAAGTGAAATTGCTGTAAGATGTATCAAATATTTTTTTAAGTTAATCCTTTTTTCAGTGTGAATAATTATTATTCTGTCATGCAGTTTTGATTAATTTTTAAGGTAAGGCAGGTTATATTTCCATCTTAAAGTGCCAAGCATATTCACACACATTTATAATTCTGGAAATAACCATCTAATTCCCTCTGACAGGTTGCGGTTTAGGGAGGGAGTTCCCATCCATGGAAAGAATTGCCGATGGTAGTGTTGCAAAGAAAGCTGATTGGCCTTGGCAAGCCAGCCTGCAGGTTGACGGCATCCATTTCTGTGGAGCCACGTTGATTAGTGAGGTGTGGCTCCTGACTGCTGCTCATTGCTTTGAATCGTAAGTCCTCACCTGTGCCAGCCCCTCCATATATAACAGAGATCACCAATTTCATCTCCTCACCTTCACATCCTGTAATTGTTATCCCGTTTTCATTGGTCATCTTAGACCCTAAAATGGTATACGTAATTGTCCAGCAGACTTAGAAGAAGTAACAATTACTGAAGAATAGGGAAAAAATTAGAATATTTTCAATTCCAACTGAATATAGATTCTCCAACAACCTCAACTTTAAAAACAAGTTAACATCACCAAAAGTTAAACACAAACACACACACACCAGTTTTCCTGAAATATACTGTGCATTTCTTAAAATAAAACTCAGATAATAGTATCCCAACTCTCAAACTTACATCTGATTTTCCCACATGAATATCTGGTGCTGTGCTTTTATTATTTGTATGCTTTTTGGTGACTTAACATGTGAAACACTTGGGAATACTAAAGAGATACAATAAACCTATTGAAATTCATATAAAATGGGAAAATATTCTGGATAAAATGTTTACTGAAAAGAAAGGATGTAAAAACAATATAAAAGTGTCTCCACCTCTCTTTCCCTCTCTCTTTTCTCTCTCCATAGATATACATACATTTATAAGTACAGATATGAGTACTTATGTATGTGTACATGTGGGTACATATGTCTAATTTTTACTTACTTGTATACTCATCAACTAATCTGAATTACTTTTACAACCAAAACTGGCGATAATAAGTTTCCTTTCAAAAAAATACAAACTTTCCCTCAAGGAGAGTAATTTTAAGCTATTTTAGAATAGGGAAGGTTTATCAACAAAATGAAAAAAGGAATCCCAGGGAGAAGCCACAAAGAAAGTGGGAGGATCCCAAGCAACTACCACTTTAAACAATTTGCCCTTCCTCACCGTTATGTCCATGCTCATTCAGAGTCCTGGGCAACTTCTGATCAGAAATGATCTAAACCAACCATAATCCTTTTAATCTGTGATCAGCTACAAAAACCCCAAACGCTGGACGGCTAGCTTTGGAACAACTCTAAGCCCCCCACTGATGAGACAAGAGGTGCAGTCGGTTGTCATTCATGAAGACTATGCTGCCCATAAGCATGACGATGACATCGCTGTGGTGAAGCTCTCCACCCCTGTCGTATTTTCAGATGAGGTGCACAGAGTCTGTCTCCCGGATGCTACTTTTGAAGCCTTGCCTAAGAGCAAAGTGTTTGTCACTGGATGGGGAGCTCTAAAAGCAAATGGTGAGTATCTCAGTAAAAATGTACAAGTGAAAAAAGAAAACTCATCCTCCACTGGAATGCGTGTGTGCATGCTAAGTCGCTTCAGTCATGTCCAACTCTTTGTGACCCTCTGTACCCTAGCCTGCCAGGCTCCTCTGTTCATGGGATTCTCCAGGCAAGAATACTGAAGTGGGTTGCCATTCCCTCCTCCGGAGGATCTTCTCCCCTCATTGGAAGAGATATAAGATACAAAAGAAAAATATAGAAAAGAGATGTAATCAAGATGTCACATGAAAAATATGGCAGAAACAAGATATAAACCCCTGGTGATGGACAGGGAAACCTGGCATGCTGCAGTCCATGGGGTCACAAAGAGTCGGACATGACTGAGTAACTAAACTAACGGTAATAAGTTATGAAAACTACTATTAAACAGTACCTGTATGTATTATCTTCTTTATGGGGTATTTTGGAATCTATGTAGCTATAGCTTTCCTTTCAAAAAAAATAGCAACCTACTCCAATATTCTTGCCTGAGAAACCCCATGGACAGAGGAGCTTAGCAGGCTACTGACTCAGAAGAGTCAGACACAACTTAGTGACTAAACAAAAACAACTTTGCATATAATGTTTTTCTTTCTTTTCTTGCCTTTTGTACACAGAGACTGTTATGGTTGATGATTCTTAAAGTATGTAATTTGTGAGCAGTAATAATGACAAGCTTTCTGTAATGTACAGAAATACAGTTAAACAGAAATACCTTAAGCAAGCAATTTGAATGGTGTTCTTGATGCTAAACATTAAAGGAGCCCTTTGTATCCACGTATCTATGAAAGAGTTTTTGAGCCTGAGACTTTATAAATTTGACAGACATAACATTTTACTACACTTAATAATATACAATAAACTGCAAAGATAGAACTTTAGAGCCTGATTTGAGTTTCCAGTTCTCATGTCTCTTGGTTGGATTTATTACATATAATTTAATCTGCTCTTGAATTTCTGACTCTTATGGGCTTCTCTGAGGGCTCAGTGGTAAAGAATTTGCCTGCCAATGTAGGAGATACAAGTTCCACCCCTGGATTGGGAATAGCCCCTGGAGAAGGAAATGGCAACCTATTCCTGTATTCTTGCCTAGAAAATCTAATGCACAGAGAAACCTGGTGGGCTCTAGTAAATGGGGTTGCAAAAGACTCAGACAAGAGTAAAATACAAGCAACAATATAGACTCTTATAATGGTATTACAGTCTTGTTTGTGTCCTTGCTCAAAGTATAGCTTTTATCTGAGTCTTTATGAGGTAGCAGTTAGTATTTTCCAGCAATAAGATTTTTAAATTAACATGTATATATATACATATACATTTATATATATTTAGACATAATGCTATTGCACACTTACTATATATAGTGTAAACATACTTTCCATATGTACTGGAAAATAAAAAAATTTGTATGACTGGCTGCATTGAGATATTAGCTTCAGTGTGGTGGTCTGGAACCAGACTTGCAATATCTCTGAGATGTGCTTTGTCAAGTGATGAGGCAGATTTTCAGATAAGGTAAGGTAAACTGTCACAGATTATCCCAGGTGGTGAGGAATCCCCTGGGTTTAAATCTAATGTTATCCTTCATGTAACTATGTGATCACGGCTAAGACTCAAAACCAGGTGAGCTTTGGTTTCCTCATCTGAAAAAAAGAATATTCAACGTCTATCTTTGATGATGGTTCAGTTCAGTTCAGTTCAGTCGCTCAGTTGCGTCCGACTCTTTGAGACCTCATGAATCGCAGCATGCCAGGCCACCCTGTCCATCACCAACTCCCAGAGTTTACTCAAACTCATGTCCATTGATTCGGTGATGCCATCCAGCCATCTCATCCTCTGTCGTCCCCTTCTCCTCCTGCCCCCAATCCTTCCCCAGCATCAGGATTTTTTCCAATGAGTGATGACGGTAGCTAGGATTAAATAAGATAGTAGGAGTCAATGTACCTAGCACATAGGAGATACCCTAGAAATAGAACTTGAATCTGAACACCTGTCATCGAGTCCAGAGTGATATTATCTCTAGAAAAATATTTTATCACTGGTTCATCATTTGCAAGAAACAACAATTAGCTATCATATGCAATAATATGGAAATTCTTCATCTGTTTATTTTTTCTCTTTAGGTCCCTTTCCCAATACTCTGAGAGAAGTTGAAGTAGAGATCATAAGTAATGATATATGTAATCAAGTTCATGTATATGGTGGAGCTGTATCATCAGGAATGATATGTGCTGGATTCTTGAAAGGAAAACTAGATGCCTGTGAAGTAAGAATACATTCAAATCTACAAAATGAATCTGTTACTAGAGATGACTTGACTGAACATAGACTAATGTCACTTTATGTGACTCTATGAAGTTAAATTTGTGGAGAGAAAATAGCAGAGTATACAGGGTTACATTTAAAACAGATAACCAACAAGGGATATAGCACAGGGGACTCTGCTCAATATTCTGTAATAATTTAAATGGAAAAGAATTTGAAAAAGCATAGGTACATGTATATGCATAACTGAATCACTCTCTTGTACACCTGAAATTAACACAACATTGTCAATCAACTATACTCCTATATAAAATTGAAATAAGAAAAATTTGAATAAAATTTTAAAAAACAGGCATGACTAGAAATTTTTTTGAAAAGTTACAGGGAAAAGAAGAGCCATAAGAAATAGTCCTCATTTACTATTGTCTGGTGCGGTGCTTATCCACTCAGGCATGTCCGGCTCTTTGCACCCCCGTGGACTGTAACCCACCAGACTCCTCTGTCTGTGGACTCTCAAGGCTAGACCACTGGAGTGGGTTGCTCTGCCCGCCTCCCGGGGATCTTCCCAATGCAGGCATTGAACCCAGGTGTTCTGCGTTGCAGGTGGATTCTTTACATTTGAGCCACCAGGGAAGCCCAGAGCCATGTGTAAAGAATAATCACCAGCTGCAAACTGGTGGGCTCTGATTAAAGAAATGGACTTCCTGTAGACAAAAGAAACCAAACCAGAAACATACAATCCCTGCTTCAAGCCACAGTCAGACTCTGTAGTTAGGTATCTAATCCCTCTAACTGCAAGGCGCTGTGGCCTGGGACCTGCAGATGTCTCCACGGCATCATCACACCAGTGCTTGAACCCTTGAACTTAAACAGTGTACATCACATAGAATTATACTACTTAGGAGAGAAAATATCTATACATTCATTTCAAAGTGTTACCTCACAAATCACACACTAATTAAATAAATTGCATTTCCCTCAACCTTACAGAGCATTAATTTTAATCATTAAGCATTTAAAGATAATACATTGTAAAGTATGGCTATTTCAAGGACTGAAAATAAATAATTAAACCTTCTACCTGTAGCATTTGAAACTGAATCCAACGGTTTAGCACTTCTATGTTTGAAATAGACTCAGCTCCACAAAAAAAAAGCAATCTGTTGAATAGAGACTTGTATCTGAGTTTATTCCATAAGAGAGCAGATGTTCTCATTCTGTTGATCCATGTTCCCTTGCTTCCTTCACCTCTAGTATACTAAGAACCTAAATTAGGATTTAGGACTTTGGGAAAGAAGCTCAGGACAATTGCTTTTGGTAGACCAGCAGGTTTGCTTTTGGTAGACCAGAGCTCTTACTCTCTGTCCACTGGGCGCAGAGAATGTGCTAAGAAGTATGTGATGGGGAGAGAGTTTAAAGGCACAAGACTCTAAGAACCCTGCCTACTTCAAACAGAATCATCTCTCTTATTTAACAGAAACATCTGGAAGGGGTTTCCATATAATATTTCTTTTAAGTGAATAGACTCATTGCTAAAAGATAAAATTAAAAATCATTTGTGAAAGGCTTAACTATATCAGGGAAGTCTTCTTGATTCCTACTCTCAAACCAGTTCACTTGGGAGCAAAACCTTGTGTGTAATCAATCATGCACATTCATTTGGAATGTCCTTTGCCTATCTTTCTATTAAATAAATTGCATTTCCCTCAACCTTACAGAGCATTAATTTTAATCATTAAGCATTTAAAGATAATACATTGTAAAGTATGGCTATTTCAAGGACTGAAAATAAATAATTAAACCTTCTACCTGTAGCATTTGAAACTGAATCCAACGGTTTAGCACTTCTATGTTTGAAATAGACTCAGCTCCACAAAAAAAAAGCAATCTGTTGAATAGAGACTTGTATCTGAGTTTATTCCATAAGAGAGCAGATGTTCTCATTCTGTTGATCCATGTTCCCTTGCTTCCTTCACCTCTAGTATACTAAGAACCTAAATTAGGATTTAGGACTTTGGGAAAGAAGCTCAGGACAATTGCTTTTGGTAGACCAGCAGGTTTGCTTTTGGTAGACCAGAGCTCTTACTTTCTGTCCACTGGGCGCAGAGAATGTGCTAAGAAGTATGTGATGGGGAGAGAGTTTAAAGGCACAAGACTCTAAGAACCCTGCCTACTTCAAACAGAATCATCTCTCTTATTTAACAGAAACATCTGGAAGGGGTTTCCATATAATATTTCTTTTAAGTGAATAGACTCATTGCTAAAAGATAAAATTAAAAATCATTTGTGAAAGGCTTAACTATATCAGGGAAGTCTTCTTGATTCCTACTCTCAAACCAGTTCACTTGGGAGCAAAACCTTGTGTGTAATCAATCATGCACATTCATTTGGAATGTCCTTTGCCTATCTTTCTCCTCTCAAATCTATTGCTACACAGTGATACAGTGCCTCAGACACATTCCTATCAACTGGTGGAACAAGGTGGGATTCCAGATTCAAAGCATGAGATTATTCCTACCTAACAGATTTAGGAGAGGCTTCATGGCAGAAGTGACACTTGAGGTCACATTTATGTAAGAAATGGATCCTGAGACCTAGGTTCAATTTGTGCTGTCTGCTGAGATCAAGCAAAACTAACAACTATAGAAGGATAAAGCTGAAACCTTAACTTTAGTCACACTATCCTCCAGAAAGAGACATTAATAGAGGTAAACAGAGATAATCAGATAACAGATAATAAGAATCTCAACTATTAAATTAATGGTGAGTAAAAACAGAATTTGTTTTTCATATTTCAACTTAAAATGTTAACTTATTAGACATTCAGATACTGATTAACTTGTATTTCTGACACCCCTTTATTTATCACATTGATCTTTTTTTTTCCTTCCCACTTGCCAGGGTGATTCTGGGGGACCTCTGGTTATAGCACATGATGGAAACATCTGGTATCTTATCGGAATAGTAAGCTGGGGAATGGACTGTGGAAAAGAAAACAAGCCTGGAGTCTATACCAAAGTGACTCATTATCGGGACTGGATTAAGTCTAAAACTGGCATCTAATATAATAACCACCTCTACATCCAAAATGCAAATTCCATGTGTGGCCTCTGGCAAATCATGTTTAGTATGTGCTGCTATGTATATTGTCATCAAATTCAAGATGCAAATAAGCCTGATCTGACAGCTCTCCTCTAACATGTGAGGAAAGAAGGCTTTCTTTCACATCACCTGATGTGTCTCACTGACCACAAGCATATACCATAGTGTCAACTCCAGTAAGATCTGCCGTTGCTGCTAAGTGCCTCTGATTGCCTCCTGGCTCATCTTTTGGTTTCTACTACACACTTTCCATTTTAGAAAAATCCAGCAGTGTAATCAGATGAGTACCAGCTGGCTAAGTATTCGTTCTTTTTTTTCCTGACACAGCATACTGCCCTTCCCTGACTTCATAGTTTTTAGCTTCCTCCTCAAATAATCCTCACTAAGAATCTGTAGATTCACTACACCAGACAAATCCAGGTGATTCATTTTGGCTGACACTAATGCAAATGATGGAGAGGCATTAGACATGAAACCAGGACTCAGGAGATGGCACTGCAAGAGTCCTTTCCCCTTTGCCCTCAGATGTTCATTTAACCTCTTTCTGAAACTTGGAAAATCTTAACATTTAAATTTACACCCAACAGTGCATATTTTAAACTCTTTAAACAACTACACTAATGTTCGGTTTAGAATAATGAATAAATCCTTGGATCGGATAGTAGGAGAACTGGAAATACTGCCTGGGACAGGATTTTGTTTCAAACTATGTAAAAATAACTTTTGATATTCAGAAAATAAAAGCAGTTCCTTGGCCTTTTCGTCAGGTGGGGAATGAGAAGAGGCAAGGACTTAGTGAGAGAAGTTACTTTCCAGCTCTAAAAAATGGAAAATGTTCCACTTCTGGTCTAACTGTACTTTTCACTTCTGTTTAATTACTTACTAATGCAGTTCATTTCTTAAACCATTTTATTTTCAACTTCAGAATACTTAAGGGACTCACAGAATGAGATGCCAGTATAAATTATGTATTCATAAATATATGAGAAGTCAACGGAAAATTAGAAATTCATTCAGTTTGATATGAGTTTGGGAAAGACTTTATTGTATAATATTTAAATTTACTGTTACAAATGGTAGTCATTCTTTGAAGAATTGTATTTATAAAGAATATTCAAATAAGAAAGCATCTTTGGATGGTTTAATAATGATATAGTCATTTTATGTATATTTAAATGCATATTTTGTGCCACTGTACATGACTAGTGTTGAGCAAAACAAACTTTTCTTGTGCATCTGAATTTTATTTGGCTCCCCCTCCTATTACAATTAATTTAGTTAATTAAATAACTGTCATGTGAAGACTTTTTGAGTTTTATATCAAGTAAGAGTCTTTCTTCTCCCACATAATATTATATTGTAAATTAAAATATATTTATAATGATAAATTCAGACTCATTATCTTTGAATCATCACTACTTGGCAGGGTTTCTCAACCTTGGTACTATTGACATGTCAGGTAATTCTTTCTTGGGGCGGAGACGGGGGGAGGTTTGCCTCAAATCTTCTACAGTGTAGAATGATTAGCAGCTTTCTTTCCCTCTGTACCCTAGGTGCCAGTGATAACTCTACCAAGTTGTAACAAATAAAAATGTACCCAGACATCGTCAAATGTCCCCCGAGGGGCAAAATCACCCCTAGGTGAGAACCAGAGATGGCACTGCAAGAGTCCTTTCCCCTTTGCCCTCAGATGTTCATTTAACCTCTTTCTGAAACTTGGAAAATCTTAACATTTAAATTTACACCCAACAGTGCATATTTTAAACTCTTTAAACAACTACACTAATGTTCGGTTTAGAATAATGAATAAATCCTTGGATCGGATAGTAGGAGAACTGGAAATATTGCCTGGGACAGGATTTTGTTTCAAACTATGTAAAAATAACTTTTGATATTCAGAAAATAAAAGCAGTTCCTTGGCCTTTTCGTCAGGTGGGGAATGAGAAGAGGCAAGGACTTAGTGAGAGAAGTTACTTTCCAGCTCTAAAAAATGGAAAATGTTCCACTTCTGGTCTAACTGTACTTTTCACTTCTGTTTAATTACTTACTAATGCAGTTCATTTCTTAAACCATTTTATTTTCAACTTCAGAATACTTAAGGGACTCACAGAATGAGATGCCAGTATAAATTATGTATTCATAAATATATGAGAAGTCAACGGAAAATTAGAAATTCATTCAGTTTGATATGAGTTTGGGAAAGACTTTATTGTATAATATTTAAATTTACTGTTACAAATGGTAGTCATTCTTTGAAGAATTGTATTTATAAAGAATATTCAAATAAGAAAGCATCTTTGGATGGTTTAATAATGATATAGTCATTTTATGTATATTTAAATGCATATTTTGTGCCACTGTACATGACTAGTGTTGAGCAAAACAAACTTTTCTTGTGCATCTGAATTTTATTTGGCTCCCCCTCCTATTACAATTAATTTAGTTAATTAAATAACTGTCATGTGAAGACTTTTTGAGTTTTATATCAAGTAAGAGTCTTTCTTCTCCCACATAATATTATATTGTAAATTAAAATATATTTATAATGATAAATTCAGACTCATTATCTTTGAATCATCACTACTTGGCAGGGTTTCTCAACCTTGGTACTATTGACATGTCAGGTAATTCTTTCTTGGGGCGGAGACGGGGGGAGGTTTGCCTCAAATCTTCTACAGTGTAGAATGATTAGCAGCTTTCTTTCCCTCTGTACCCTAGGTGCCAGTGATAACTCTACCAAGTTGTAACAAATAAAAATGTACCCAGACATCGTCAAATGTCCCCCGAGGGGCAAAATCACCCCTAGGTGAGAACCACTGCCATGGAATCAATAGAGAAAAAGAGTCATTATTAAAAATCTTGCACCCACAATTGCCTTACATGAGTTTGAAGATATCTTTTTTCTCATCTTTTATTTAATGTTGATACACTGAGAATGCCAAAATGCCATTTACCATGATGGTATTTAAAGACTCATATCTAAACAATCCAAGCCAAATTAAGATCATTTGGGAACTGAAACTAGTTGGATAAAGGAGGCAATTTGAAGACTGAGTTGCTACAAGCAAATAATTCATCTCTAGTTGGGCAGATGGGTGGGTGGATGGATGGATGGATAGATATAGACATAAATAGATCTATATATCTAGAGATATAGAGAGATTGTATAGATATTGATATAAATATGTATCTAGAGCCATAAATGTCAAATAACTAAATCCTGAATAATTTTTATCGATTAAGTATCCTTGGAATGTATAAACAGATACCATTTGAAAGAGTATTACATAATGAGTTGAGGCAGAATGTCTCAGACCATCACTCACTAACACTGTAGAGTGAAGAATAGAGAATCATGTAGCATTACTATGCACTAAAATCTGGATTGTCTAATATAGTAGACACTAGCCAGTTGAGGCTATTTAGATATAAATTAATTTAAATTAATACAATTAAAATTTATTTCTTCAGTCATACAAATCACATTGTTTTAAACAATTAAGGTCATTTCCTTTTTTCTAAACAAAACATTAAACAAGAACCATATTTCAAATCCCCTTTCTGCTGGAATCAGAAAGATGTAGATACAAATATGTTTTAAGGCTTTACCCTGAACCCTTTTATACTTATGTATTTAACTTCATAAGAATCAGAGTATAAAACACATATGCAATCTAAATATTCTTAAGCCCCAGGTGAAATTGCATGAATGTTAGTATTCATCAGCTACATAAACAAATCACAATTTAAACATAAAATCATTACCTGTGACTGGTGGCTACCATTTTGGGTAGCACAGATATACATTATTTTCATCGCAGAAAGTTCTATTGGACATCACTGACCTAGAGTATTTGATGCAACTACTTACATAATCACTTATTCATCTAACAAATATTTCTTAAATCTCTATGCATTAGACATTGGGTATTCTAGACAATGGGTACACCGTTGTATATAGAATCCTATGCTCAAGACTACATAAAGAACCAAAAGTATTTTTTAAAACTGCTGTTGAAAGTAGCAGACCCTTTGGAGAGTATGGTTAGGCAGGCAAAGCATGACCGCTTTTGGACTCTCCTTCGTCTGGGGCTGCTGGTCCACTAGTGGAGAGGAGATCTGTATGATCTACAGCAGGTCCACAGGGACCCACAGATACAAATGGGGCTTTCCTATTTCCCTTAGATAAAGATCCAAGAACTTCCTCAATTAGTAGTTTATTAAAAAATCAAAGAGAGGTGGTTTTTTTTTTTTGGTTACTTTTTAAATCAATAGGAAATTTCTTGTAAACACAAAAGCTATGTTAATGGCAACCAAACAAGAGTAGCAAATAATGAGGTCTATCAGAGTGACTTAGTCCCAAAGAAAAGAAATATCAAATTGTAGGTTAAGCAAGAAGTCAACCCAAAAAAACAAGGATTGGATTGTGCAATCTGTTAATGTAGATTTATTATAGATGAATCTAGAAAATATGAAAACAACAAATCACTGTGACCCACACCTATGTTCCTTCAAACGTTTCGAGGACCTAAGAAACAGGAAACCTAAGAAACTTAGACCAAACGTGTTACTTTGCTGCCATCTCCTGGTTCATGTTATTTTAAAATATATTTTATTGTAGTTTCATTTCAAGATATAAAATTACAGGAGCTGTTTTCTAAACATAAAGCAGTACAGAGATAACTCTGGCAATACCTCTCCAATTTTTTTCTAAGATAACCAAGTTTAAAGTTCTATATATGCTTTTATTGGGCTGGCCAATAAGTTCATTCGGGTTTTTCTGTTACAGCGTATGGAAAAATCTGAACAAACTTCCTGGTTAACCTATTATGTTGTTTTCTATGTATACAAATATAAATGAATATATCTGTTCACTTATAAATAATTTACCCACCTTTTTCCCCCAAATGATATTATTTTATACATACACACACACTGTCTCCCACACATGAGTATATCTGGACTTTTATTTCTACCAAAATGGTAAACTAGCTTAGGAACTTACTTCCTTCTCCAAATCAACCAAATCAGATAAACTATAGAATAAGAAGTAAACATGAATTCTAGACCAGGAAATCATAACAAAAGTGAGATACCAGGAGACAGGCCTATCTTGAACCAGAGTATGTAGGAAGGATGGGCCCTTGAAGCCTAGAATGTAATGAGCAAATAGCTGAAAGAAGTTTTTTTTTAAGTTTTACTCAGTCCCCCAGGACCCTGCCTTGCCCTATATTGCCTTGAGACAATGTTCACCTGTTTTTCACACCAGTCTAGACTCAGCAACCCAAACCACCAATTTTGGAAGTATCCGGGAAAGTTCATACAAAGGAGAGAAACTTCTGGAAAAGACAGCAAATGATCAGATGCTCTCAGGTTTTCTTTTCCTCACCCTCACTCCTCCAGGCCTCCAGCACTGGTGAACTGAAGTCTAAGAACATGATTTCCTCCAAGTGCTGCTTCACTCTGAGAGCCCAGATCTATAATTATTAGTATCATGGTCAGCCTTCACCTGCAGAAGAGCGCCAACACTGAACTTCTTAGTTATGCCCAAGCCCCTCCCACCAGCTCAGTCCTGGTGGCTTTGGTAAGCGGCATGGGCCTGCCCACAGTACATATCCACCGGTGGGTCTTCTGGTTACATATAACACCCATTCCAGAATGGCCATTTTCCTTGGCCTTTTTAAGTATCTGCCAGACCAACTAGGGAATTTCTGCTTCACTCAGTCTTAATTGTGCTTCTTCCAGACTGTTAAGATCTACTCTTGCAAGTATGCCCAATCTCCTTGGTCCTTGCCAGGATGTTAAATTCCCTACCTCAAGAAGGTCAATGGATTCTTACTTATCCCATCTTCAATTCAGCCCTCCTTCATCAGGCAACTTCAGAACCCAATGCCAGGAACAGGAGTACTCCTCTGCCAGCACATACTCACCAATTCTTACAACTTCTTTGGTGCATAGTCTCCTTACCTCCTTCTCAGGCTCAGTGCATTCTTAGCTGAGTTATTGGCGTGGTTGTCAATAGAGGAGGGGGGATATCTCGAGGAGCCATCAGTTGGCAGGTGAGGGAAAGAGCTCTGCATCTCTTCCAGCCTGGGAGAAGTGTTGGCTCCTAAAAAGATTGTTGTTGGCTCGTGAGGTTCAGGAAATTTGCAGGACTAATACCAGTATCTTTCCACCTGTCTCCATCTTACATTTCAAGATTCCAGGTTATCTTTGTGTGTGTGTTAGTCACTCAGTCGTGTCTGACTCTTTGAGATCCCAGGGACTATAGCCCACCAGGCTCCTCTGTCCATGGGATTCTCCAGGCAAAAATACTGGAATGGGTTGCCTTGCCCTCCTCCGAGGACCTGCGTCTCTTACGTCTCCTGCATTGGTAGGCATGCTTAACCTTTAACTGATTCTCAACAACCTTCATCTTCTCCTTATCTCTCTGCAGGGCAGAGATACAATTTAACAGTAACCAGCCAATTCCACTATCTTTGTAGGCATTCCCCCTTCTCATCCCTTAACTGCTGAACCATCACCCCTACAATCATGTCCCCTCCACCAGAGGGGAAGTTTTCCCAGATCACTGTTGGTGAAATCTTTAGCAAATTAGGTGTCACCTCCTGCCAGGGATTCTCTGTGCCTCACATGCCACTCAGAATGTCCTCTTTACCAGTAGGTGGGGAAATGAGTTTTTTGGTCTTCAATTTTCTGAAATCACTCAATCAGACCCCACAGTTGGAGTTAAGGCACAAGAGATTTACAGGGGTAAATTTCTGTGAAAAAAAATGAGACATATGTTGGAAGAGGAAAAGAGACCCTTCAGGATGCAGCTCAGGTCCAAAATTTGTGTAGTAGAGAGGGAAAAGAAGAGTTAGGAAAAAAGTATCATGTGCTAGTGCAGGTGCAAGAAAATTTGACCAAGCCTATGGGGAGTCTAAAAATTAAAGTCAACCATCAGAGAAGTCTCACATTTTCTAAGAATATGCTTGCCTTAATAAGCCTGCTGTGTGCTTGTATACTGCTTCTGTTAGGTAAATAACACCATGGATAACCTGGAAAAAAGATATTTAAAATGTCTAAAACTGAAAAGGTAGTGATATCTTTAGCAAAATACAAAATACTCTTGCAAATCAACAGGAAAGGAACAACCACATTAGAAATATGAACAAATGATATGAAATGGCAATTTATAAAAAAGAAGCAAGCATATAAAGCAAATGCTTAGATAATTGGTATTCAGATTATTCAAACACAGTTAAAGCAAAAGTAAGGCATGGCTTTATACCTAATAAGCAAGGAGAATAATGGCAAGTGCAAGGAAGGATGTAAACCTTTCATGAACTACTGATAATCGCAGTTAGTCTTAGTTAAATTATGTATACACTTGTCCTATGACCCCCAAATTCTATAATATATCATATCATGCACAAAGTCAATTTCAAATTGTTTCCTTCTATATTTTCTTCAGATCAGATAACCTGGAAAAGTTTTAATTTCCCCATATAATTTCAAGTTCAAGCTAAAAATCAAGAACTAAAAATCAAGCTAAAAATCAGGAAATCTTCATTTAACAATAGTTTAGCTATGAGAGTAGAAGACTTATGACAGAAGGAAAAGAATACATTCTCAAGGAATGCTGTCAGCCTCCACAGGCTGGAGAATTGATGACCCATCTCTATTGTTGAAGGAAGGAGAGAGTGTTTTCTCACTTTGAATAAATTTCCCTAGGTTGTTAGAGTAAGCAGTAAGTGGTGACCCTGACATACTATGCAAAATAAATGACATATTTTCATCTCTCAGAGGTGCAAGGAGTAAAGGGGAGGTTTTGAACATTAATCTTTTAATTTTAATAGATTCTTATATTTATAACTAATACATGTAACTGCATTAACTCACAATTTTGATTGAAATTAATATATTAACAAATTTTCTTCCTTTTTTCTACTTAATGTAAGATACAAACAGTATGACAGCCATGCCAATGAATTCATAGATTATAATCCAAGCCACTTTCTTTCTTTTACATAGAACAGGGTAAACAGTCTTCTGAAACCTCCAGGGCAATAGCTTTCATGGGGACCATCTCTCTGGAGACAGAGATGCTAAGTAAGTGGGATTCCAGTTATGCCCTGCTCAACTCAACCAGAATTACTTCAGTGTGATTTGCTCATGTATTTAACTTCAGCATAAAATTCATTTAGAGTAAATGGTTCCATTACTTCATCTATATGAGAGTAGAAGACTTATGACAGAAGGAAAAGAATACATTCTCAAGTAATGCTGTCAGCCTCCACAGGCTGGAGAATTGATGACCCATCTCTATTGTTGAAGGAAGGAGAGAGTGTTTTCTCACTTTGAATAAATTTCCCTAGGTTGTTAGAGTAAGCAGTAAGTGGTGACCCTGACATACTATGCAAAATAAATGACATATTTTCATCTCTCAGAGGTGCAAGGAGTAAAGGGGAGGTTTTGAACATTAATCTTTTAATTTTAATAGATTCTTATATTTATAACTAATACATGTAACTGCATTAACTCACAATTTTGATTGAAATTAATATATTAACAAATTTTCTTCCTTTTTTCTACTTAATGTAAGATACAAACAGTATGACAGCCATGCCAATGAATTCATAGATTATAATCCAAGCCACTTTCTTTCTTTTACATAGAACAGGGTAAACAGTCTTCTGAAACCTCCAGGGCAATAGCTTTCATGGGGACCATCTCTCTGGAGACAGAGATGCTAAGTAAGTGGGATTCCAGTTATGCCCTGCTCAACTCAACCAGAATTACTTCAGTGTGATTTGCTCATGTATTTAACTTCAGCATAAAATTCATTTAGAGTAAATGGTTCCATTACTTCATCTTCCCCACCCTCAAATAACTGTTGTAATTCATTGTTTTAGGAGGATGTTTATTAGCATTTTGTGACTGAGTGGAAGTAGGGTAAAGATTCTTATGTTAATGAGAAGGAGATTTTGGAGAGAATAGATGCAAGTCATGACAATTTAATAGATGTAGAAGACCCAAGAATGGATGAAGGGAAATTAAAGAACAATATCTTGTTTGGGCATTTTAAATTTGAGATATCAGAAACAATACTATGTAGAGCTAATCCAGAAAGCAGAACTTTAAATCAGAAGAATTATAATAAATATTTAAAGAGATTTGTGGGTCAGATGCTTATAGATGATATCTGTGGCAGTGGATTAGAAAGTATGGAAGACAAATTTCATGATATGAATTTGGCAGTAATTTCTTCAACATGACACCAAAAGAACAGGCAACAAAAGAAACAAATGGATAAACTGCACTATGTCAAAATTTAAAATTTTTGTACATCAGTGGACACTATCAACAGAGCGAAAAGGCAACCCATGGAATGAAAGTAAATATTTGAAAATCAAATAAGGAGTTAATAGCCAGAAATATATAAAGAAACTCTGACTCAGCAACTAAAAACAATCAAATTCAAAACTGGGCAAAAAACTTAAACAGCTATTTCTCTAAAGATACACAAATGGCAATAGGCACATGATATGTTGCTTCCCTTAGCTCAGCTGGTAAAGAATCTGCCTGCAATGCAGGAGACCCCGGGGTTGATTCCTGGATCAGGAAGATCCGGAGAAGGCATAGGCTTCCTGCTCCAGTTTTCTTGGGCTTCTCTGATGACTCAGTCGGTAAAGAACCCACCTGCAATGTGGGAGACCTTAGTGTGATCCCTGGGTTGGAAAGATCCCCTGGCAACCCACACCAGTACTCTCACTCGGAGAATCCCCATGGACAGAGGAGCCTGGCAGGCTGCAGTCCATGGGATCACGAAGACCTGGACATGACTGAGCGACTAAGCACACACACGTGTTGCTCAATATCACTAATCATTAGGGAAATTCAAATCAAAACCACAGTGAGATACCACTTCACACCCACCAGGATACAAAAAAAAAAAAAAAAAAACAAANTACTAAAAAAAAAAAAAAAAACAGAAAATATCAAGTGTTGGCAAACATATGAAGAAATTAGAGTATGTGTTCATTGTTGGTGGAATATAAAATGATATAACTGTAACGGAAGGTGGTATGACATGTCCTAGTTCTTTCTGGCTGCTATAACAAAAGTAGCATGGAGTGGGTAGCTTACTAATAAACATTTGTTCTTCAAAGTATGGAGGCTGGGAAGTTCAAGGTCAAAGTGCAGGCAAATCCATGACTGTTGAAAGTTTGCTTTCTGGTTCTTAGATAGCCATCTTCTTGCTGTGATCTGACATGGCAGAAGAAGAAACAGAGTTCTTTGAAGCTTCTTTTATTAGGGTTCTAACCTCATTCATGATGACTCTACCCTCATGACCTCATCACCTGTGAAAGGCCCTACCTCCTTTATCATCACATGCGGGTTAGTATTTCTATGTACGAATTTTGAGAAGACACAAACAGTCCATACCCAGTGATTCCTCGAAAAATGAAACAGAGAATTAGCATATGAACAATGATTCTATTTCTGGGTATATATCCAAAAGAAATGAAAACAAGGACTGATATTTGTATATCCATATTCATAATATCATTATTCTCAATCACCAAAAAGTGAAAGTTAACTCAAGTTACTAAAGTACACCGACAAATGAATAAACA